GGGCAGCCGGCTCCGCCCAGGCGCGCGCGGACGAACGGTCGCGGCGCACAGCCTGCCGGGACGCTGGAGGACTCGGCGGGGGCGGGCCGCCAAGATGGCGGGTATGAGGCGAGGTGAGCGGCGCGTTGTCACCCGTTACCAACAGTTCTGACCACCCCACCACCACCGCCTCGCGTCTCGGCGCGGCGGAGAGTGACCGGGGAGGAGGAGGGGGGGGACACTGTTTCTTACCTCGCCGCCCCCGGGCGGGGAGGTCATGATGAGAGCGAGGTGGGGACCGAGCTTGAGCTAGGCCCAGCCCCATAGCCATATCGTGACAGCCCCGACACGCTGAGGTACATCCCGGCAGCTGCGGGCCCTGTGTCAGCGTCAGCAGGGGCTCGGCGCTTGTGCGGGGCGAGGAGCACCTTTATAGGCAAATCGTTTTCCTCAGGCCGAGTGACATCCCTTGAAAATCAGGTCTTTGCTTCAAATTATGAACCAGTGGGATTCAGAGAGGAAAAAAAAAGTTCTTCATTAGTGTGGTCGGAATTATTAATTTTCACTTATTTCAAAGAGGTCAAAGGTCTTCTCCCAAATATGTAAATTTCAGCCCTAGGTGGACAAAGTTGGTTTTGACAACTTTGGTTTGAACAACTAGCCTTTGCCAAAGTCCTAAAAACAAGTGTAATGAGGTGAATTGAGTAATGTTAACTATAGCTGTTGCATGCTTTTAATATAGCTTTGGCATTAAACCCGGTTTTTTTAGAAAATGGGCTGTGTTCTACCTCAAGTAAGCATGTACCGCGTCACTCCCAATCACGATAACGAATTCATACAGCTGGGATCAAGTGTTACACTCTCTTTTTGTCTGGACCATACAAGCCTTACACAGGCAGAAACGGGTTGCTGACCTGCACGCCCTGGAAACTCACTACGCCACGTCTCACTAATGCAAATGCCGCCCTTAGCAGAGCACTTCTTGCTGCTGCAAGTCTGTGTGCTTCTTATAAATGCTTTAAAATTGTTAGTGTGCCTTCCAATTTAAAAAGCCCCCAGCAGCAATGCAGACTTCATTAATCCTACCAGTGAGTCGATCTCAGGGTTCTGGGATTAGCAACCTGCTGTTACACCTGAAATAATGTATTAATCTGGCATAATAATTACTACTTAACTGCAGTATCATTTTCACAGGTGTGTTGTGGGGTTTAAATGTTTAAGCCGTGTGAAATGTCCCCTGTTGCTCAGGGGGAGGCAGCATGTTCCAAGTAATGGTGGCTGTCAAACCCCTTCTTGGAACAGATGCAGGAATGGTCAGTGCCCTCTTGTGGAAAATGATTTTAAAAAAAAACCAAAACCAAAAACCCACAGTTTAAACATAAAGTCGGGGAACTACCATTAGGGAATTCATTAGGGATTGCCTGTACAGTAAAATTATCCTATTCTAATTATACCATTGGCATCATGACAGTGTAGGTGCTCAGCATGGATGAGGCTACACCGGTATAGCTTGGTGTTCGGTTATACAGAAGAAGTTCCTTGTCTGGACACTTTGGAATAATAACATGCCTACACATGCAGCTGTGGTATTTCAAATTAACATCCTACTTCACAGTCTAAAATGACTTCAAAATGGAGACATCTTACTGCTGTGGAAGAAAAGAAGCACAGCATCTTGACACAAGGTATTACTTTCACATGAAGGTTTATACCAGGGTACAAATACAAACGCGTCTTTCAAAGATGTACAAATACAAACACAAAACCATCAGTCACTGCAGAACAGGATGTGTAATGAAACCTTTAACTCCCATTCTGCAAAATGAAAGAAAGTGTTCATCAAAACGCATTTTGTCTAAGTGAAGGGACGAGTCTGTTAGGAGCCTAAAGTCCCTTTACTGGGACTTATGAAGCACGTCCAGAAGGCATTTCAGATTACAGACAGTATGAATCACCTTCTAAAATTGCTTGCCTATTTCCACTAAATTCCCAAATTGGATACCTCAATTAGGTGCTTAAAGTTAGTGGGGATTAATTTGGGCCCAACTGCATAAAACTATTAGGTGATGAGGACATTAACCTCAAGAAGCCCAGGGATGAAGATAGTGACGTATGTCTCACTGGTTTGATGATAATGAGATGTCTCTGAGAAGATGAATGAGACCTTTCACAGACAGTTTTGCTCTCTCTGAAACAGAGATTGTAACTTTTCAATTGCTCATGTGTCTGAAAGAGGCTAAGAATGTTAATGAGTTACTTAAGAGGTGCTTCAGTAGGTCAGTGCCATCACGTTGCAAGGGAATTTTATTTATTTAAAAAAAACCCCAAAACCCAGTTAGCTTATAGAAAAGGTACGATTTTTGTGGGTGATCAGAACATATCATGGTTTTACATAGAATGACTTTGCTTTTGAAGGGAACTGGTTTGGAAGGACATTATTTAGAGGAACCAGGGAGCCCTGTGTTCTACATGAACGCTTTCTCACGATATAAAACCAAATGGAGCATTCAGGTTCCCTCGCATGTTTCCCTTGTTCCTGCATAGTTAGAGGGGATGAGGCGTCATCTGCTGTGAAAGGACAGGATAAACGAGTTCTAGGTAATGCCTGCTTACCTTGTGTTTTGAAAGAGATGGGTTCCTCTGTGAAAGTGACTTCACAACAGGGATTTCCCCAAAATTACTTTAGAATTCATGTATTTGAAAAAGTTATTTTTGGAACCTGAGCTGCATGATCTGAGCAAATAGTAAGTCTTTCAGTGAACTGAGGAAAACTTTTCTCCAAGCATGCTTGACCTCTCTAGTAACATCACTTGTTTGAATGTTTCTACAGCCCTTTCAGTAAATAGACTGATTTTCTTCTCTTTATTTTTTCCTTCTCAACGGAAAGGAAGAACTTCATCAGTTGTATCCTTTTTGTACCTTTATCCCTCACATGTGGGAATCGTCAGGAAGACTGGCTGAAAAGCATTCATACCTTCCTAAATCTGCACAATGCTATTTTTGTGTTATTCTTCGAGTTTTCCATCATCAGCACCATCTTTAGGAAGCAAAACTGGGAAAACAGTTCTTCCAAGGGAAGATGGTTTTTGCAGCATTAGCTGGGGTTTAGCTGAGGCTTTGCCCTGCTCGGCTCCCACTCCTGCAGAAACCCCTTTAACTCACCCTGCGGTCTGGACAGAGGGCAGGCACTCACCATTTAGGATCACGTAACTCCTTTCCTTAGGAAGCAAAGCTGAAAATTTGATTTGTGGACTGATGGCCATGAACCCCATGCAACACACTTTGCAAACAGCTGACAGCCAATAAGAGGTAGTAAAAAGCAGCTTTCAGTTGTACTTCCTCTTCCCTGATGTTAATTCACTCTACATTTACTCCTGCCAAGATCTAAGTAACCTCCTCAGAGGAGACACCCTTGGCTTCAGAGATTTCCATGCCTAGAACCTATCTAGTAATTTTTTGCTCCACCTCCCTTCAACTGGAAAAACACAAAAACCTGGTTCTGTTTTAATAAAATGAGCTTCTCTGGGAACGAGAATACATTCATTGTGTGTGGGTGGGTGCTCCGTTCAGAAACTGGATGGGCAGTTCCTGTAAAAGGCACCTGGGCTGAGGTCCCTGCTTCGAGAGATCCAGAGGATTTGAGAAGGGCTGGGGGAGAGAGGGGAGGATAAAGAATATTTTAAGTATAGAAAGACAGATGTGGAAATAATGAATCTGCACTGATAACTTCCTCATATAAATTACTCTGTATTATGTAATGCTAAGAAAGGCATTTAGTATCATTTGGTTATCAAAAATACACATGAATGATCAAACTTTCTGGATTCTTGGAGCCATATTGCAACTTTTCCATGTGGTGGTGAGTCCCAGGATGTCCTATGCGTGTCTCCCTTATTGCATTAGTAACATGCTGCTGCATCTCAAGAGAAAATTATTCTTTCAGTATGTATGTACCTACTATATAAGAACTGTGCCTATGCGGGGGAAAAGGGGGGCTCTTGAAGACATTTAACTGTGAAGTACCCCCTGTAAATGAGGCATTTCAACTCCTGTGCAATCAGAGAGGGAGCTGGCACAGTTTAACACCAGCCAGCCGTTCATCGCACACTGCTCCGGAGCTCCTTTGCTAGGGACATGCTTATCTCTGCCAACTCCAGAGGGAGCCCAGGCGGCTAATTCAGACTCTAATTTTAGGATGGCTCTCATCTTGGCATGGTTACAGGTGAGAAGAATCTGTCCTGAGCCTGCAAGTAATTTCCCCCCATTTGTACGACAGCATGTGCCATATTCCCTGCCCTTCAGGGGCATTTTGAGGATGCATTAAGGATTGTGGAGCTCTCAGATACCTTGGCAGTGGATCCACATAGACAGACAAATAACTAAAGCTAAATACTATCTCACAGTATATAGCAGTTAGTTTTGTGAGCAGGGAATTAAGGAAGTCTGTTTCTTAAAAATTTGCATCTCAAAGTTGAGCTTGTGGCCTTTCTCAGGCATGTAACGAAGAGCAGAGCTTTCAGACTCTCCATCATGTAGGCAGTAAAAGGGCCTGTCTGCTTCACAGAGCCACCTATTTTCAAGAACATACAGGAATTTGATGTATTGGAGCCTGCCAACCCTCTGTCAACTTGCCTAAGGCTGACTAACAGGTACAGAAGTTGTCTGGGGAAATGTACATATACACACCCCCCTCATTTCCTTAGGCTAACAAATACCCCACTACATACCAAATAAAATTTTTTTAAAAAGGAACTAAAGCCAAACCTGAAACAGCAAGCTTTTATCCTAACTCCTGGTATTTGCAATCTCAGGTTACTTTCTGAACCCTACCAATAGGCCAGTCATAGCTGAACCATTTAGTATAAAAAGGCACAGCACTGTATTTTGAGGTTTCTGGGAAATGATGATTTTATGAAATGGATCCCACCACATTGCTATGAGAAATCCTTAACAACAGTTATCAGCTGTCATCTGTTCCTTTACAGTTACTATTTTATGTAAATGGGATTTATTACATCTTTTACTTCGCGGCAACTCTTGCAATGATTATTTATAAAAGTAAGTTGCACGTATTCTAACACAGAAGTAGGCTGTGTGCTTATGGGATAGTTGTGGTTTGTCAGCCTACTGTGTTTTCCTGACTTATTTACTCTGTGTTATTCTACAGGTCAAGTTTTCAGTTATCCAGATGATTTTTTGGCTCCAGATCTTGCATTGCTTTTCATTATGGCCATTCTTGAAGTGCTCCGATTATACTTGGGTATGTCATGTTATCACCGTGCCTTTTCCGTGGAATATAATCTTTAAACATTAATCATTCTGAAATTGAGTGTGTGTCAAAACATGCTACTTTAGCAGACTAGCAGATATTTGCAGACTGTTCATTTATGTCATTAAACTTTATCTGACTGATCAATAGATTTGGCCAGAGGCTCAAATAGAATCTGCTCTCATATGAAATATAATCTATAACACCATTAAGAGAACAGCTAGGTTGTCAGAAAGCAATAGAACTGGGACAGCTGGAATGCTGTTTGCAAGTGAGCATGCTGTGTGAGAATGAACGTGCTGAACATCAGAGAGTTCCACTCACTGAGGTGACAGAGCTCCCTTCAGCTGCCCCAGCAGCCTGCACAGGTAACCAAATGGCGGGAGCCCTGTGGAGCCCGGGATGGCAAGGACGTCCCTGGGCAACGTACGGCTGCCACCATGCCTGTACCTTTTCCTTTCACTCCTTCTGAAGACATATGCCAGTCCTAACATCTTCGTTTCATTCAGAACAGCATAAAGTGCCCCCTGATCCCTGTCCATAGCTTACTAAAACATCATAAAGTCCTTTTTCTAAAAAGTCAAGTTATTAAAATTCATGCTCAATATTGCTGACATTTATGCAAGGTGGATCTCTGTTGAATTCAGCCGACTTGCTGTAGGGGTGAATTTAGCCAGTGCCTTAAAGCACTCTGCATATGCTTGCTTGGAGCCTGGTGGATGAATAAAGAAGTGAGTTTCAGTCTAATGTAGTTAAACAGCAAAATCTACTGAGACTAGCTTACAAAGAAGATGGAAGGAAGAGAGAAGTGCAGCTTCACCACAGTGAGAGAGCGATTTGAAATAGGAAGACATTAGCCAGGAGTATTGAAGATTCTACGTTTCGTAAGATTTTAACATGAGGATTGAATGCTCTCAGATGTGCAATGCAGTCACCAAGTTGTCACCCTAAGCACAGGGCCGGGGGGGACTGGAGGAAGGTTTGATGGTTGACTAAGAAGCTGAGTGATCAGAATGCTTGAAGCTTCAGAACGGATTATCTGTGTTAAGAAAAGTTAGGCAGCCTGACTTTATCAACCAACTGCTCTTTATTTAGATTAACTTTGGTGAGCAAGAGATGGATTGTCCACTGGTGTTTGGGTTTATCCGTACATTTACTGACAGAGCCTTGATTCAGACCAGTATTTCAGTGTACTCTGAGTTGGAAGGGCTAGAGTCTTTTTTGAACAGGAATACTCTCGACTTGTGGCTTGTGATATTGTCAGAAGAAATCAGAGACTCATATCAGCTTTTTGTTTCCTTCGAGGTTCAATGGGTAACCTGACAGAAGAAGAGGCTCCGTTAGGGCTCAGTCTTGTGATCACGGTCGGAAGTGTGATTCTGTCTGTGTATTTCCTGTTGTGGCAAACCTACGTGCTGAAAGCAGACGTCATTATAAACGCTGTTCTCCTCTTTACATATGGGCTTGAGTCAGTACTAAAGGTCATAGCCATTGCTGCCTTTGTCAGATAAACCCTAGCAGTTTTTCAGCATGTTTTCAACACATTTCTTCTACAAGAGTGGTTTTATATTTCAAATATTTAATTCTTATACATACAAAAATCCCCTAAAACTTTCCTGTGTTTAAAGTACAAATTTCTGAGGGGCAGATATCTCCCTGAATGTTGGGTAAACCATCCTGTCTAGCAGCTGTGCTGCACTATCTCATGAGTTCACTTATTTATGGGCAAATGCAAGAGGTGGTTCAGCAAAAAAACCCACAGGGACTGATACTAAATATTCATTCCCAACGCAAAATAGTAGCCAGTGCATCACCTACCTACCTGCTGTTGAGATGATATGAGTTTTTATTATATAGCAGCAACATACGACCAAAGTGACACAGAAATGAATCAGGCCAATAGAGTCTGGACTCATTTCTGCCTTGCTACATACACGCTGCTCTTTGAGGGCACAGTTTTTCTGCTGCTCTCATTTGTGTTTTCAGACCCCAGTGGTAATTTCCCTGACTTTAGTAGGGCAGTATCTGACTTAGCCCAGTGGGAGAGAGTTGAATTGAGTTTTACGCATACCTGGAGAGCTGAGCTACAGGGTTTGGGCAGCTGGTTCTTACTGACGCAGAGCCCTGTAGTGCGAGGGTATGTTTGATTAAATAGGATGGCCTTAAGATAAATATTCACCACTCATTCACCCTTCTGTCCTATTTTGTTAGGTGCATTTCTGTTTGGTGTTACATGTGTTGGTTTCCATGATTCTGCAAAAGTTACTACATGCAAGCCTTGTCTTTTAAATGAAGAACTGTGTGCAATTTCAGATTTTTTTACTGTATCAAAAATATATATATATATATATTAATGTAAAGCTTGGGGAGTTTGTGGGGGTTTTGTACAAGCAGGTTTTATATTCAGAGTTTCCTATTTTTGTATTTATTTATTCAAATAAATAATGGTTTAGATCTAAGAAGTGTTTGAAGTGCAGAGCATTTTGTTCAGCTCCTAAGCTACAGTGAAGCTACACAAAGGAGGATTTGGGCGAGACTGGATGTGTGCAAAGGACTCTTCTGATCCTGCTGCTGTGGGCCCCTCGCCTGCACTGGGAAGGAGCGCCTGACGTCTGCGCTAATTTGCACTACCCAGGAGCTGGAAATACAGTGGTGCCAGCCCCGTATTGCCTCTGCCGCACTGCTGTTCTCTTCCCAGTGGTGGTAGAAGGGAACAAAAAATGGAGAAGGTCCTGTGGAAGGGTCCAGTTTCATCCCTTGGCCATCCCCGGGGGAGCCCCTTCCAGGGGCAGGTGACACCAGCTTCTGTCCACCTTATGCTGCCCAGCAGGCAAAATCCAAACCCACATTGGCAGGAACACCCTTGGGTCAAATCCTGGTAAGTCAGTGGCATAACCAGCCCTTTGCTGATCAGCAGGAGCAAGGCTGCACCCATGAAGACAACATAAAAGCAGCAGAACTGGGTGCTGAGGAGCAGCCAGGAAGCCCAATGACCAAACGTTTCTGTGCTTAATCTGCGTAAATCAAACACCCACCTAGTTATTTGTCCTCCCAGATTTGGTTGGCGTAATGGAACGTGCTCATCACAGACTTGTTCAGAGGAATGACAAAGACACCGAGCCACATCTACCCCATCAATGACAAATACATACCGAGCAAAACCCCTGTCTGTATGCATACAAATAAAAGCATTTTTTTCCCCTGGTATTTACACCTGCCTCATAAAAAGGTCTGACAACAGAACATCTGACAGGTTTTAAAGGAAACATTGCTCAGTGAAACTTGTGTCTTACCTGAATGTAGGTGGTGCGGCAGATGGGGTCACACATGGTAACTTCAAGATGCAGCCTCTCTGCTTTGCCTTCCTTCTTGTGGTGCTCACTACAAACAAAATAAATAAAAACTATTAGTGCAACTGGTAGCAGACCCAGGGTGTAGATTCAGGAGACGCCAGTAAAGCTAGCAGAAGGTGTTCCTACCCTGAGGCGTTTGATTCCACCACAGGTCACCACCACCCCCAGCTACAGCCCTACAACCATTTGTGATGCTGCACCACAAAACTGGGTCCCTGGCCTGATCCACACAGAAAAGAACCCTCACAAAGGGTTCTGGTGAAGGTGTTGATCAGGTGACGGTGTTTCTGCTTATCCCCACAGCACAGTATGAGTTTGAGACAGTCTGCTGGGCCACACAGTAAAGTAGCCTCCCCCTCAAGCTTTATAAAACAGAGAATTTAAAAATATCTATTAAAAATGTTTTAAATTATGTATATAAAACATATATATATTACATATATGACATCTGTACATATTATAAAACGTGGTGAATCCTTTGCTCCCTAACTATCTAGATACAAAACAAGAATCAGCAGAGAGCGACAATGCTTGCTGACAGTCAGCAATGGGCTAAATATATCCATATGATAGTAAACATAAATTTTGAATCTCATTTCAGAGCGCTGCCTGATGGCCTGCAGATGTCACAGAGTGCTGGACAGCTGTCAGTGCTTGCTGGGGATCAGCTGGAACCAACCTCAAAAGGTGCAGCTCTGTTTCAGTTTTCCAGTTTAAGATAAAATTGTCCAGAAACATTTTTCTGATTAGATGAGCAGATCCTGGGGTAGTTCAGCTGCTGACAGCCCCCCCACTCTGTGATGAATGGAGGAGGAGGAGAGAGAAGTTTGTAAACTCCAGACAACTCCTTCATCTCAGGTATTGACAGGCTTTGAATGGGAATCATCATTTATGCTGGTGACACTGATTTCACGACAGCTTCTTTCCATGCTGAGCTGGTCTGAAAACCCAAAGTCAATCAAGTCCCGGAATCACTGAGTTTCTCTAACCAGAAGCTCCTTTCCAAAGTGTTCCCACTGCTCAGTGAAGCAGGGCATAGCCTAGTGAAGCCATTGATGACATTTGCCAGACATAAGATTGCTGGAGCTTTTAATTATGAGGCCCAGCCCTTCTGAAACAGGATGAGCAAGTTGGATGAAAACGGCATTAAAAATTTAGAGGAACACATATTTTGAGGAGCTCGGTTTGGGTGTTGTTTACTCTGCAAGGAAGAAGTCTTTGTTCTCAAGCCATCACAGGGGTGTCTGCCGCCAACCTGATTTCAAAGGCTGATCCCGAGAGGCAAGTTAGCTTCCTGGGATTTCAAACTCGGAGATATTCCAAGAGATAGGGCTTTACTGGCCCATGACTTTTTTGTGTTCCTCAGCAGGCAGAAACAACGTACCAACCAAAACCCAGGTGAAGTGGTACAGCCCCCAGGGACCACCATCCTTGTCACAGCACTGAAGGGCTTTGTGCCGTGGCCAAAGGAGCAAGGTCCAGGACACGGCGCTCGTTTGGTTCCACCTCAGGGAGCCAAGTCAAGAGCGGGCGTCCAGGAGCTGCCACCGCACAGTAATTCCCCTCTTACTGATTGCCTCTGACCCACTTGGACTAGCATCAGCTGTGGAAGGGAAGATGTAATAAACACCATTGTGGTTTTCTTCCCCACCCAGAGGAAAAGTTGCCTCCTCTGCTCAGCAGTTAGAGATTTCCTACGGGGCGCAATGACTCACGGAAGCCCGCTGGGCCCATCTCATGAATGTGGAGCCGAGGCTGCCAGATAGCAAGTGGTCAGTGCCTCAAACATTAAATGGCTTCTCCAACACAATCCTGACAACTTGCTGTTTGCATCCCCTGGGAAAGTCAGCCCAGCCCAGAAGTTCCACTGAAATGTCCCGGTGGCAGATGATCCATTTCAGGGGGCAGAGATCACCTGCACAAAACCTTTCAAGCTGGCAAGGGTTGCCAGGCTCCAGCACAGCTGATGTTCCTACTGCATTTCCCTTCTCTTGACCCGATACCCTCCTGCCCAGCAGTGTGGCTGGCATTCTCTAAATCCTGCTTCTCCTAGGGCTGGCCGTGTTTTCACAGTGCATCCTGTACCCAGATCCCCTGGGATCTCACCGACATCACAGCGAGGAGGATGACGGGGTGCTGGGCGGGTGCGTCATACCCGAGTATCAGCTCATGTTCTCCCACAGCGGAAGAGGTCATTCTCCTGTCAAAACCCAGCTGCCAAAATTGTAACTGGCTCTTCCCCTCCCCGTCCAGCTCACCAAGCGGCATTCCTCCCACAACTCACCCGGGGCGGCTCCCCATGTGGCATCTGGACGTGGGCCAGGCAGCAAGCTGAGCTCTAGCCCCCATAGCACAGTAGGCACTGAAAAACACAGCGGCGGGGAACAAGTGCTGAGTTAAGGAAGCCAGGCTTCCTCCAGACCTGTGTCCCCTGGTGGAAGCGTTTCCTTGTTTCATTCTCTAGTGTCAGAGTTGCAGCTATTTCATCCCCAGGGCCAGTGACAAGGGGTCTCTCTAGCATGTACATGCCATGGGTTCAGCACACACCCTGGGGATGGTAGGGAGGCCTGCAATGCACATGCACTTAAATAAAATGCTCTCAAAAGCCCCACATTTTACAGAGGACTGGCTAACCAGATGGATCCCACACTGCCAGGGACACGGCTGTAAGACCCATACATTCAGCTGTTATTTTTCAGCTTAATGATCAGCTCATAAGCTGATCCCATTGTTTTAATCTTGAGACAAACAAAACTAGGTGTTCCTTGACAGTAGTAAGTCTATGGACATAAAAGGCCATCTCCCAGAGCTCAGGGTCCCTCTAGGCCCCCAAACACACAGTCTGCATGGTAGACCCCAAGCACAACTCAAACATCGTCTTCACAGTCTGGCAAGAGAAACTCAGGAGCAGCCTTGCTATCTTTTAAAATTTCCTTCTGGCTTTTGAGGAGCAAGAGAAGCAATAAGAGATTATGCGATTACACTGGGGCTCCTAAAGAAACCCTTACCAGAGAACATGCGAACAACACTGGCCGTGACGCAAGGGCTGAACTGGCTCAGGCTGCACCATGTTGATGCCAAAACCTCTGCCTGATGCCCAAGGCCAGTGAGTCCTTTACTTCCCTCCTGTGCCATGGCAATTGCTTCACCCTGCTTCCTCCCAGAGGTGGGTTTAGCAATCCCTCCCCTCTCCCTGCTTTGGCCCTGGCACAGATCTGCCAAAACTGTTTTACCTGTGCCCACTGCTGGGGGCTGAAGCGGCAGGCCAAGACGTGTGGCAGAGCCAGGCCCCGCTACCTCCCTCCAGCTCACGGTAGAGCTGGGGCAAGACGAGGGGCTTTATGGACATGCAACCAACCCTAAGGAGCACGGTGCCACGGGGTAGGGTACCCCGATGAGGTCTCTGCTCCTCACCCCCGACTGCTTCGGAGACCTGGAGAGAGAGGACGTTTTGCCCTCTCCCTCCATATCACAGCAACTTTCCCCGCTGAAGACGTCAGGGTAGAGCAAAGCTTGAGGAAAACAACCCATGAGCCAGTGCGGAGCGGTGGAGGAGAGCACCGGGCTGCACAAAAGGTGCCTTGTTCCCCCCACGAGGCGTTCTGGCAGCATGTCCCCTCCCTCACCGGCAATGCAAAACCCAGCTCCAAGTACTCCTTTGCCACCCCTCCCCGCCTTCAACCTCCCCCTTGGGTACAAAATATTTTCAGGCGAAAGAAACCTGAAGTTTAACCCGTCCCTCCCGGGGAGCACCTCGGGTTGGCTTTTGGTCCCCTCACACCGGGAATGGGCAAAGGCCCCGGTTGCCCGCGGCACATTGTGGGGATACAGCCAGCTGGTCCGGGCCACCAGCTCCTAGTTATACAGTAACCTGTTGCTCCGGGTCCCAGCTCCACCTCTTGCTGCCTCCACATCCCTCCCCTCCTCTCTCCTCTGCCAAGAAACCTCTGTCACCTGCTCTCAGACAACCGGGGCGAGCAGCACCGGGACGAAAGGGCAGAGGGAAGCCAGCGGCACGGGGACCCCCAGGCTGGGGCGCCGGGTGGGCTCTGCCTCACTCTCCCCTCCATCCTTTGGGCTGGGGCACTAGGCTCACCAGCGAAGTGCTGTGCAGGGAGGCAGAGGAAACTCGGCTGCCAGAGAATGGCAGCAGGATTTAACTAGAAGGGCACGGCTCACTGGGAGAGGACACACGGGAGCTGAGAGAACTGCGGGAGACAAGAGCGGCTTCTCAGCACCGGTAAGCCCCTCCTTGCAAACCTTAAAACTTCACATTCCCCCCCCAAATGTTTGTCTACTTCAAAAGTCTGCTTGATTCAGCTGCAGGAGTGGGACTGGAGAGGGAGTTGTGCCTGGGATAACTGTCAGTACATAGTTTTGCCTATTTTTTTTTTAAAAAAAGGGTAAAAAAAAGTAATTTTTCCAGCGTTATGTTTTCGGGGTTTGTTTCTCCTTGCGTTTCCCTGCCGGGCCAGATCCAGTAGGTGGCACTTTCTTGGCAGCAAAATGTCCGTCTGACACTGAACAGGCTTTTTTTTTTTTTTTGGTTCCTAATTGAAGTCTGGAGACGGTAGTTTTGAGCAGCTGTTTGTTTGCAAACCTCGGGGTTTCCTCCATTCGAGACACATACGGAGAGAATTTTTGCTGTTCCCCACCAGGCACCTCGGCAAGCTGCAGTGCTCAGCTAGTGAGCTCTCCCTGCCTGCAACCTTGGCAAGATCCATCACCCTATTTCAGAACGGGGAGACGGTTCAACTCAGAGCTGCCCCGCTCCCTGGTGTAACAGCTCTGGCTCCCCGCGAGCTTTCAGCTGCGTTAATGATTTGGAGCACAGCTCTCCTGTCCCCTTTCACTTATTTGCCTGGAAAATGCCAGTGCAAACTCCACCGAGGACAAGGCTCACGGACAAATGATTTGACTTACGTTACTTTTAAATACTGGAAATAACTGTGAGACAACACAGCAGTAAAACATGGTGATTGCCCTGATCTAATTAGGGCAATGAGGAGTAACACTTGCATTGCTGGGCTGCTCTCAAACACTGCATAAAGCGAGGGCTGTGACGGGGATCAGATCGCAGTTGCTCTCCCAAGAGCTCCAGTGCTGGGTTGCTTTGGTGGGATCTGCCCCTAAAAAGGGCTTTTTCTGAGTTAAAGAAATGACAGTGAGAGGCTCAGCCCCCAGCAGACACACACCAGCCTGGCTGGCTGAAGCAGAGACTCAATGCAGGGTTTCACCTGTGACTGCCATCTGCAGTAGCATATTCCTGGCTCCATTTAGTTGAGTGATTGAGTTTTCAGTTGATCAGGGAGAAAAATTAGTCCTTCCCACACAGAAAGGTCAGGCAGCAATATTAAAGCAAGGAGCCCTTTAAAACAGGACTGTGAAGAGGGCCTTGGGATCCACTGTGGGAACGTGTCTGTGAGTGGCAAAGGTCATTGCTTCACCCTATTTAAAACCAAGGCTTTCAGCTGGGTTTGGGATAACACCAACAGTTCGATCCCTGCTGCAAGCAGGCCTGGGTCGTACCTGCTGCTGGTTTCCACCGCCGAAGTGTTAGGAAGCCTGTCTGACTGAGGGACTAGTGCTCTTTGCGCTGGATCCAAGCCCTCAGGCACAAGTTGGCACCCACAGGCAGTCCAGTGCAGGACAGGGTGGGTTTGTCATATAATCACAGAGTTCAGAGGGACTGGGGGTGTTTTCAGAAAAAGTTGAGCACTGGCATCGTTAAACTGGATGTTGATGAGGTCCCAGGGAAGGGAACAGCTGTGAAAGAGGGTGAAGCGGGGCTGCTGTGTGCACACATGCATGGACACACACCCGTTTGCTTGGTATGATAAAGCAATTTGCCAAGACAAGCTTTCAGTCACCACCCAACGTGGTAAAGACACCAGCGAGCTGCCTGGCTGCTACACAACACAAGGAGGAAATGTCTTCTGGGCCATGGAGGCAGAGAGATTCTCTCTGTTGGTGCCCACGTTTGTTGAGTACAAACAACTCACCATCACCAGTCAGACTGACAAAACCTGGCCCCAATCCTGGTGAAATAGGTGCTACAGGTCGTTGTTTCTGGGGCTCCATCTGCCTGACTCCTGTGGATGCAGGCACCTGGTCTGTATGGACCAGCTTGCCAGGTCGGCTGGCAGCTCACTTGTGTGCAGGCAGGTGCATGGCAGAGAAGACGCTGTCTGCGGCAACATTAACAGCAGCCTCCATTTTCTGGGGCTGTCCCACTGCAGCTGTCTGCTTGGCTTCAGCCACGGGCACGAAGAACCAGGGAGAGGTTGTGCAGGAGAGACTCAGGCCAGCTAGCTCTGCTCTGGCAGAGTCATCCAGGGGAGGAGATGCTGCTGGGGGATGTCCTCGGGGCCAAATCTACCAGGAGTTTGTTAGCATCTGACTCTGGATGAGAAGAGATGCCTCTGAATGTGCTGGAAAACAAGAGTGCTTTTCATAGGGTCACCAGATAATTCAGGCTGGAAGTGACAGAGACTCAGAAAAGACCCTAATGTGCTAAAGGACTCAGGAGGTTTCAATTCTTGTGGTAGCCAAAGAAAGGAGCAAAACAGGGAGAATATACACATTGGCTTGTGTGGGCTTGAGAAACATCCATATAAAATAAGTCCGGGTGCAAAGCCTGAGTGTGTGTGGGAGCCTCGGAGTATTATCCCCAGAGAGCTGGATGCCAGGGTGCTGCTTTAGAGCCATGTCTCCATTATTCTCTTTGCTTCTTTCTCTCTTCCATGCCATGGTCTCCCTTGAAGTGCTAGGTCAGGGCCGTTTGTGGTTTTGATGAGGACTCAGCAGTTTTCTCTTTGTGCGGAGCTGAAGTCTGGCCTCACATCTACTTTATGTAACAGCAGTCAGCAGTACTGCTCTTAACTCCAGGGCAGATGTTAAAGTACAGCCTTTAGCCTGTGAATTTTGTGACTGGCAATAATCACCCTCTAAATAAACACTCAAGCCTTAGGAGTCTTCCCTAGCGTCCCCCAAGAAGAAGTGCCAGAGAAAGTCCATAGACTTTCCAGAGTGACAGAGTTGGTTTCCTGTTCTACATTAAAACTTTATCAGCAGCAGGGTGTCTGCAGCACCGGGCAGACCTAGCAGCACATGACTCTGCCAGCATGGCCTCCTGAACCACCCTGCTTTGGCCAAGGTTCAGCAGATGCCCAGAAAAATACCCACCTGCCTGCCCAGGAGGTATTCAAGCCTCCCACTCGAAGGGAGGGGGGAAGGGTGGTACCTTCAGAAACCCTTCCTGCTCATCTGATTCTGAAATAGAAGAGTCCTTGCAGCTTAAGAAATGGCACCGTACAACACCTGAGTGACACGGGAGAAGAGATCCAAGGAGGCCCAAGATCACAGTTCCTGGATCTCCACCTGCCCACAAGACCACACAGCTCTTCATCTGTCAGGGTGACTGCAGAGAGGAGTGTTATGGATTTTCATGTAGTGAGGAGGCTGTGAACAGCAACTCTACTTGCAGCGGGTTTGAAGTGGTAAGATCAGGGAAAAAGTACGCTCTCACCTATCCCTAAAATATTTCGTTCCCCGACATCAAATCACTGTTAAGAGGGAGTTGAAGGGGATCCTGGAGAGAGTCGATCCCATGCGTTGGTGTCATGCTGCTCTCACATGAACGAGGCCACCTCTGCACGCAATGCAAGAGCTTGTCCTTTCCCATGGCAGCAGGAGGCTTCCTTTCTCCTGGGCTGGGGGAGAAATGCATAATGCTGGGGGGATTAGTCAAAAAAGCCCTGGTATTTTTATTTCCTGATATTTTAAATCAGGAGGAATTGCAATTCAGGAGGGAGGGAAGGGTGTGTAGCTAAGTGCTGGACCGGTTTGGAGATCTTCCCCGTTTACCTGCACTGCAGTTCCCCAGGAGAGCCCAGCCCTTGTTCCCATTCTCCAAATGCTCCCAAGGGCGTTACTGCAACGTGCCCACTGCCTCTGAGGTTCTGCTGAGAGAGAAGGCAAAAAGTTTCCAACCCACGGGAAGAGGAAGCCAAAAGTGGGGAGTCACAGGCTCTGCCTGCTCAATGGCCCTGGAACAGCAACTGAAGTGGCCAGATGAGCTACTTTGGCCCTGATTTGGTCTGACACACCAAGCGAAGCCTGGAGATGACTGTTCTGCAGGCACAGTTGAATCAGGGGGACCCTCACAGCTGCCCAAGACAAGAGGCTGATGGCAGAGGCTGAGTTGCTCCATGTCCCATCAGGGGGCAAGGTCAGCCCCAGCTGGCACGGCAGCTTGGTCCAGCTCAGGATGCTCCATGCCCTTTCACCCATCGCTGTCAATAGAGGAGCGCCACAAATCAACTCCCTCACAAGCGTCTCCCACAAACCCTGTTGAGATGGGCAAACATGTCAGAAATCCTCAGGTGCCAGGAGCACATTCCCACATCCAGACCACAGCTGGGTCTTCACCCACTGAGGCCTTAGCCCACATATTCATCTCTCCTTTCCCCCTCCCCAGTGTACTGCCACAGCTTCTCTCTGGAATTTCAGCTGGGCTGAAGGAGCTGAGCACTGCCAGGGCAATGGGCACCAAGACCCAGGGCAGGAAGGGGCAGAAGATAGGATTTTGTAACAGCCCTGGATGTCATGATGGGCATAAATGAGCCCTCCTGGCTCACAGGCCTCCAGCCCAGCCTTGCCCTAGGTGAAGGCAGCTCTTTCGGCAGGTGGAGTAGTAACACTCCACATTTGGTGGGCTGAAGTCTTTCAACACCACCTTAGAAAGGGCCAGCAAATGCTTTCTCTTTTTTGGTTTCCGGTGGGGTACTGGCCCCCAAAAGCTTTTGATAATTTGAACCTGTTTGAATTTTTTTCTTCCTGCTTCCTTTTTCTTTATTTTTCTCCCCTCTGTCTTATCAGTCTCAACCTGTCCAGATTTATATCCTACAAAGGTAAAGTGCAGACTATCTGAATGGCAATAAACCAAAGTTCAGCCACCCAGCAGTAATGCTTGCTACTGCTGAGTAATTCAGAAAGTGAAATACTGCTGCTGGCAGGACAGCGATTAAGATCAAGTGAACAGGCACAGTCCGAGTCAGTATCACCCTCCCCCAGACTGTTTACATGTAGCTTTCCCCTCCCTGAGGATGACCAGAAGTGAGGCAGTTCTAACCTCTTCATGTGTTAGAGGTGTTGGCTGTCAGGAGAACCAGAGCTGCTGCCACTCAAAACCATGGGGTTCCCCCAGATTCCTGCACCAGAAATACAAAGCAAAACCCA